AAAATAATATTTCAAGGTCGAGCGGAATGGGAGGGCCGGCCGGGGCACTAGTACTGGAGTTGTGGGAGTTAATGGGGGGGGGGGGGGNAATGATCATTTGCAGTTCAATTAAATGAAACATTGTGACCATTATTATTATTATGACAAAGACCAAGCTCTTGTTTGAGACCAGTACTTTCTACAAAAGACTTACGTTTAACTGGAGTTGTTGGTTGGAAATAATCAGTATTACAGCACAGATTCACCAGAGAATTACCTTACACAAATATAAGAAAATTTATACGGCTATAATGTTACTTTTCTTGTATTTGTGAAAGACAAGTTACATAGTTATAGCTATTATTATAAATACATACTAAGTAGAACCATCATAAGTTGACCAAAAATGCAGCATATTTAACCAAAATTACCTTTGGCCAAATGACCACAGAGACGCACTTTAAAGAATATGGACTTGGAAACATGAGAATTGAGTAGGCCTGAACAATTGATGCATTAGGTGATAATAATCTCAATCATAGCAGAATCATGTTTCAGTATTATTCTATTAAGACATTTATTTTTATGTCAAATTTAACACCACTGTCAGCGATGAAACCATTCAGAATTCTGGAGGAAATGGAGAATGTGGCGGTGTTCAATAACTGGGGTTGGGTTTTTTTTTTTTTTTTCATTTAATTATCAAATTTCAGTGACCATTCAAATTTGGCAAAGAATTTTTACTTATAGGGTTCCATAACCCCATATGTGGTCACCTTTGTTTTTAAAATTTCTTTCGCGTAAAGGGTCAAAAATTTTGCCTACATTTTCCATTTACTACATTGTAAATTTCAGTATGCCTTTACTTGAATTGAATCCATTTTTCACAAATCTAAAAGAAGTTGAACTGAAGAAGACATGCAGGGAATACTCGTACATATCTACAATTAACTTGAAGTCAAATTGTCAGAAGCTCACATATCATCAAAAAATGTAACTGTCATATTTTTGTGAATTACTGGCAGAGGATAATTTGCCCGATTTAAATTACTCGTGTATTGTGTTTTTACAGAAAACACCCCCAGAAAACATCTCCGGCTAATGGTCTTCAAATTGTGCCACCGTCGTTCCCCACCCCCGCTTTTTCCAGCTTCCTAAACGTAATTTCTGAACAGATAATTAGAATAATATATTGTAGGTGTTGCATTTTTTACTCTCTGACCTACCGTAGATGAAATGACTAGTCTAGTAAGTGATGTAAATTAGATGTTTGCAAAGATGTACCGTGGCCGAAGTGCTAGTTGTAGTAAGGGACTCACCTCTCCTGACGATTTCCTGGTATTGCTGCCCGATGTTCTACCTCTCTTTTGAATCTTTTCTAAGGTGTAACTTGTATCGTAGTGGCGTTTTATTGACAGGAAAGCGCGCACATGGAATATCGGGTTTTCGAAGAATACTTTCAGTTCCTAGAAAAACTCCATACACTGTTTGTAAGGAGTGATTTGGTTGGCTGGACATTGCAACATCCGGTCAGGTGGTTCTACATAAAATGGGCTATAAATCATAATCTGAGCTAAATCCCGGCATTTTACCCAGGAAAGTTGTGATTGAGAATTATAAGAGACATGATAATGTGCGTCCATAAAATTCAAAGTTGAAATTTAGACAGAATTTATAAAACGGCGGGGGAATCCTTCGATGACGTCATTTCAACTAGTCATTTAAAGAAGTAGGTCAAGTCTCACCAAAGGTAAACAATGCCTTGACTGATACGTGATGTGCCGGTACGTGGATAACTAACAGTTTGCAACTTGAATGCATATTAGGAAGATACTCAATTATATTATATTATTTCTCTAAAACGATTACATCTATATTTCGGCTTTAAACGCACCAGATTTTCCGTCCCGATTCGTCAAAATAATATTTCAAGGTCGAGCGGAATGGGAGGGCCGGCCGGGGCACTAGTACTGGAGTTGTGGGAGTTAATGGGGGGGGGGGGGGGAACCTTTCGAAGTTATAGTATAATTGGCCACTTATGCTTACATTTCCCCATTTGCTGAAGCCCATCTGTTGTAGTTTTCTATAAAAAAAACTGTAAAGTAATACACAATGAGGCACACAAATCGTGAAGTACCAGTATCATATCATCCACCTACCCCAGCTGCCCGTATAAGGTACCTGCAGTTTTTACTAGTATTCTGGTGACCAGTGTAACGTGACAGAGAGCCCCCATGATAGAGAGTTCATTTCACATTCATTTGCACAGGTATTCGTCGCCCTAGATATTTTTACCCCCACTTAGGTCAGGGTAACCGTAACCATTATAACTAAAGGGAGGGGAAGGTTTTTTGGTACAAGGACCCTCAGTTTCGTTACACCGGTGCCGTTACATGCGTCTCGTTTCATTCCATCTTTCTCGTTGGCTGTCTCGTGGCATTTCAACTCAATACAAATATAGGCCTACTAATTCCGGCAAATGATAACTGTACTAAATGACATACGCAACCGTTGGCACAATTAGAAGCCGCGGTCTGCAGTATTATCAGAACCGGTTTAAATATTTTAAATGTATATTTAGGCATCTTTTAAGAGGCTCTTTCAAAAATCCTACACAAGGCACATTTCGATGATTTACTCCATTTAATGTGAACCAGGTAGACACCGCGCATGAATCGCACTGTGTTAGTTGAGCTGTGTGGTGCACAGGTAACACACTGAAAGATGATAAGTATCGCTGAACTGGTCCATTGTTAGTTTATAATATTGTATAAGGTATTTCTCAAATGGGGTGACAAAAGCATTGCACAAAGATTCAGGAAAACAAATGTTCAGACAAAACGTAGGGCAACAACAACCACAACAACAACCAGGCGGCTTTTCCACACAATAACCCACAACACACAGATGCAAATAAGGAGAAAGGCAGGGAGAACCCATGAGTTGTTATGATTATTTAATCATTATTTTTTTTATTTTAATAATAATAATTAGATATACGTACCAGAATAGTGAAACGTATTCATGGCGTAGTACAGTACGTGTCATAGCACTGTGATAGACTTTAGTGCAGTATAAGTTGGACTTTTTCAAATTTTCTGACTCAGAGTAATTGTGTAAACTGCTGAAATTGACTGGTTAGTGATGAGTGTTTTATTTCACTTTACAACATTATGCAATAGTCAGTTTTTGTCGTATTATTTGGTTTGGTTGATCAATGTGTCTTAAATGGATAACAGCTTTTCATTTTGGCGGGAAATGGATTTTTGTTGAGATAAACGGCGATCTTCCCATGCTTTCCAGTGGTTACCAATCCGTTAATTCCCACGTGTAAAGTAGGTCGATGGTTTTTTGTTGTTTTTTTTTCAAAGCGTGCAAAAAACTCTTCAGAAAATATTACGAAGCGTACATGTAACCATCTATGAAGGTTCAAGTGGTCCGATGACAAGCACAGTTTTTAGATTTATTGCGATAGCCGCCGTTTTGGTGATAAAATGGTATTTATCATATTTATATGTTGCTTACAATGAATATATCGTAGAATCTTGATTATCATATACAATTTTGTTGTCTCTTCACTAATACTGGAAACAGCCGTGAAAAAGGAAACGTTGAAAAACTGTGGTAAGAATTTTTCTTGGACTTGTATATACAGGGTAACAACAATTCAGAAATATTGTGACAGTTGCTCTTGTCCCTACTATTCATTTCCTATTTTAGGGAAACGTTCATTGTTTGATTTACATAACTTTTGCCTGGTTTTATGGTATCATAAAGAATAAACTGAATGGAATAAAAAAAAAACAGTCAGTGAACTTCTACTGCGGGCTTGCAACGAGTAGCGACGAAGTGAGTTCTCGATTGATTCAGTCCAGTGAACCAAATATTTCTATCTAAGCCATTAATAGACCGCAAAATATTGCACGTGGCTCATCAAAGTCACAGTCACATAGTTAATCTCGTCAATATCAAGGTAGGTACGTCCGATTCTGTTTCATAAATTTCGGCCATTTGTCTGCAAACAATGTTTTTTTTTTTTCTCCTGTTCTGAACACTGAAAAGTAAAACAAATTTTGGATTATAATAATCTTCTGCATTCGCCTCAAATTCTGAATTTTGGTTTTTGGAGAAACAAAAAGAGAGAGAGAGTATTAAAAGTTTTATCGCAAAAAGTCAATCAAATTTTGGCTAGTTACCAGACGATGGACTCGTATTAAATTGCTCGTGCAGATTGCGTCGTTTGCGAGTTTTGTGGCTCTGAAAAAAATATAAATTTCAGTATTATTCAAAATTATTACTTATACTGATGCTCAATTCTGCATATATATTACGTGCCTATAAAATAAGAGTTTTGATGTAGTCTATATTTGTACGGATTTGTGTTATCAGCGATGGTCCAGATATACTGGCATGAATCTTTCATGTTTGAAGTAGATGTATTCTTTAAATGTCCAAAATTGAACAAAAATACTACTTGTGGCAGTATCTAACTTCTCCTACAAGCTTGTTCCTGATGGTCAATAACATTTAAGACTTAATTTTCATTTAAAATTGATATTTATTATGCAAACTTGCCTTTAGATTTTGTAAACATGTTTTTCCATACCGTGGGAGGCCAATATTTACTTTCTACCTTGAATTTGTTATACCGTTGCTTCAGAGCGACGTAAAGTAATCCACAACAAGCAAAACAAATTATAAAATAATACCAACAGCCTCTTGTCATCACTAATCACATTCATTTGCGGCGGTTGCCACACCAACGATTGTGGCGAGGGAGACGTCAAAAGTAAATTGTGACGTCACAAGGGAAAAATGCGACATGGACACCATTGGTAGGCACCAAGCGTTATCACTAATTTTAAGAAATTGATTTATACAGGGTCGATACTAGCATTCTATCCTCATCCACGAAAGAGGATGCTGTTTGTCGTTTTCGTATCTTTGACAATAACAGATGCACATGTATTCAGCTTCCGCATTATGAAAACTGAAACATAATACCAAACTGGTTTGCCACATCCGTTTTATTGAGCTTCCTTGATATATGAATTAACAACAAATTAGGTAACTTATTTGGGAGTCGTCCATGAAATACGATGGAATTTACTGAAGTGAAGTTACAGTGTAGATAGAAACGGCGAAAAAGATTGGGAATCTATCTCAGAAGTTTAAATAAAACATAGACTATCTGTTTAGACACAATGAAAGCAATACTGAAATATATGCAGCGGTAGGCTTACTATATTTCGTTACAAAGTAAAAATTATGCTCTATTCGGTCTTTTGGGTCTTTTGTTTCCCAGCGGAAGTTGACTGACTACGCAATTTTTTGCACACAAAGGAACAACAAACTCCACAGAACAAACAAATCAATAAAATAATTGCTAAAAACACCAACATAACATCAAGCATATAGAACTGGTACCAGGGAAGCAGTCTTGCATGGGATTTCATATAGGAACCGCCATGTTTGATCACGTGGTCAATCCAGAAACCTGCCAGTTCCACGGGAGTGCCAGGTTGATCGCGAAAAATGGCGGACGCCCTGCGCATGTTCTTGGCATAGGTATCGTTTTGCATCATCATATTAATGGCAGAAATAAGATTCTCGGATTTTAAGAATGCCGCGTCCATTGTTATTGCAATGCCTTTTTGTTCCGCCCTTGCCGCGTTGTAATCTTGGTCACCGAACAAAGGTATGCTTATCATGGGCACACCGTGGTATAGTGCCTCCATCTGCCCGTTGTTTCCAGCGTGTGTTATAAAGAGCTTAGTGTTAGGATGCCCCAAAATATCATTCTGTGGCATCCAAGACATAATCTTGACATGACCCGGGACATTCTTTTAGCGGCTGCCCATTATACTTCCATATAACACCATAAGGCACGTTCTTGAAGGCTTCGAAAAGTTCCAGAACTACTCTGTCCGGCATGTATTTGACCAGGGAGCCGAACGACACAAGAACCACGCCGTGGTCATGCTTTTTGAGAAAAGTCTCCAAGTCTTTCGGCAGCGGCTTTGCGGGTCGCGTCACAAGACCTCCCAGGTACTTGACGTTGGGCAGTGACGGTTTGACGTGGTCAATGGCGGGCTGGCCTCCGTCCACTATCCACAACTCTGATTCTGCCATCAGCTCTGGCGTAGACATGTAAGGGCGCCCCGGGGCATGCTTCTGGGAAAGTTCCGGCGTAATAGGTTGTAAGGAATGCTTCAGTAAGACGTAAGGAACGATGTTGAGCATTCGCTGAGGAAGACTCATTTTGTCGGAGTACTTGGCAGTTATCGCTAGACTAGGGACAAATGAAGGAAGCATTGGTACACCAGCAAGCTGCTGCATATCTAGGACTATGGACACGTAAGGAACCGCATACCGGTGAGGGAAGAGGTAGGCTTTTGCAAAAAACCAATAACCGCAAACAATCATGAGGTCAAATTTCAACTCCCTGACCTTTCTGTCCAGTTCCTTGTCCACAAACATCTCTTCNGCACGTTCTTGAAGGCTTCGAAAAGTTCCTGAACTACTCTGTCTGGCATGTATTTGATCACGGAGCCGAACGATACAAGAACCACGCCGTGGCCATGCTTTTTAAGAAAAGTTTCCAAGTCTTTCGGCAGTGGCTTTGCGGGTCGCGTCATGAGACCTCCCAGGTACTTGACGTTGGGCAGTGACGGTTTGACGTGGTCAATGGCGGGCTGGCCTCCGTTCACTATCCATAACTCTGATTCTGCCATCAGCTCTGGCGTAGACATGTAAGGGCGTCCCGGGGCATGCTTCTGGGAAAGTTCCGGCGAAATAGGTTGTAAGGAATGCTTCAGGAAAAGGTAAGGAAGAACGTTTAGAATTCGTTGAGAAAGACTCATGTTGTCGGAGCACTTGGCAGTTATCGCTAGACTAGGGACAAATGAAGGCAGCATTGGTACACCAGCAAGGTGCTGCATATCTAGGACTATTGACACGTAAGGAACCGCATACCGGTGAGGGAAGAGATAGGCTTTTGCAAAAAACCAATAACCGCTTACAATCATGAGGTCAAAGTTTAACTCACTGACCTTTCTGTCCAGTTCCTTGTCCACAAACATCTCTTCCAAATAACTTTCGAATATCCTAGACATTTTTTGAATAGCGGACGTTATATGAAACAGGCTTGTGCGTAGTTCTGGGTTTTCAACGGCCGCCATGAAAATATCTCTCTGCACCTCCGGATCGTCCAGAAACATTTTCTCCTTAGATCTAAAAGTCAGCAGATTAATTCCGCTTCCTCGCAACATCGAGGCCGATATTTCGAACGTGTCCGCAAACACCGCCCAAACGTCGTGCCCTCGACTTTTCAGCTCTGACAGCACTGTCACGGTTAGGCCTAACTGGCTCCTTCCAGGGTAAACCAGCGACAGAATTCTTGCACCGTCAGAGGTTGAAGAGCACAACAAAAGAACGTACAATACAGCCAGTGACATACCAGTTTTACTCGCCATCTCGTTCCTTTATGACATAGACAACTATAAATAACCGAGCCGACAGAAGAATATAACGTGTTGACAACAGTCTGTAAGAGAACCTAGATCTATGACCCAGACTGTCCTATATTTTGGCTTCCGTCAGTTCCCCTAAATGTATTATATGACGCGAGTATGGGCTAGTTATGGAATGGAGACGCCTGCGATCGGTCGCAATGCGCGATGCCATCGAGTTACGTGGCCCAGAAGTGCCCTTGGTAACTTCCATGATAAGTCGAGAAATCCCGAGAACGGAAAGATGACAAATATATCATGCTCCCTCTGACTCCACTTTTAGTTATGTGTGCTCTATGTTTGTACAGTACAAGGACGCATATGGGTCGACTTCCTTTGTTCATGCAGTCTCTAAGTGTGCTAGTTTCGCCACCTTCACCCCTATTCTTACAGTCGGCATGACGTCACAAGATGGCCGCCACGCCCGGACTAGGGTAAAACAGTCCGTAAACTCCATTACTCTCAATGTTAAAATGATCAACTTTGATCGTCTGTATCTCTGACACCAGTTGATAATTAAACTTGACAACTGTTTAATTATATCAGCATAGGTATATAGTGCCAGGAAATGGCCATTAAGGACCTTTTCTAGCATTGATGCCGAATTTATCAGCGATTGAAATGCACCTCTCTTACACTGTAATTATACAGTATGAGCTGCAGTTCTGATTGTTTTTCAGGTAAGAAGTTGCAATGTCTTTGTTATCGGATGAATCTGTCCACTGACAGCGATTGAACAGAACTTACCTGGATCTTCAAACAATCATAGAGCCCTTTGAGGTGGTTTAATTGGAAGAAAGTGATTTTATCAGTTGGTGTCATTGTAGCAAATAGAACTAAAACAGATATGACCTTCACAGGTTGTCAGGAACCACAGTATAAAAAAAAGTGTAATTAGTACCTTTAAAACTTGCATACTTGGTGTAGTATTAACTCAATCAGAGGAAGCCATTGTTTCATAAAATTCATACATGAGAAGCCATGTTGTATAAGTAGCTTTAGATAATACATGTACTTCACACCTTGCAGTTCAAATTTTAATGTCCTTTGTTTCGAAGCCGGTTATTTGTTAGAACTTGATTACAGGGAGTTATTAACGGTGACCACCAGGAAGGGGTGGACTTGCGTATGAAGTAACCAATCAGTTTTTAAGTTTTGTGATTGACAATTTAGTAGATAAAGTTTAGTATAAAAAATCTGGGAACTTAAACCTAGGGAGGAGTGAGATGTAGAAATGACTGGATAGAGGAGAGAAGGGAGGAGAGGAAGATGTAGAATTGAGACTGGATAGAAGAGAGAGAGGAGGAGAGAGAGACTTGTACCATGTAACTGTTAATGTAGCAAAATATATTATTCTGTTGAAGTTACAACATGTAGTTTCATTCTTTTCCGTGTGAAGAGTTTAAGACAAGGAACCTGGGAATCTCTGTAGCAGTATTGCAGATAGCGTTATCCCAAGAACAGCCCATTGTGCCCAAACCCTGGGGTTTTAATATTAATAAGGGTTATTTAATGTAATGTGGGGTCCGGGATGGTCTAAGGGGGTTCCCCACAAGGTGTGGTCATTGTATTTGTCTTTGAGAAAGGGAGCTCAAAGACAGCTCTAATGACAATTTACTAGTCTGATTTTATTACTGAAAGTACATGCCATTTTGAGAATTTGAACAATTTTCCATAGTAATTTTTTAATACCCATGTAGCTGCAGACAGAATTAAGATCATGGACAGGAATAAAAATTTTACATACTCAATAAATCATTTAATTATTCATTTCCGGCGGTTGCCACACCGACGAACGCGAGGAAGACGTCAAAAGTAAATTGTGACGTCACAAGGGAAAAATGGGACATGCACACCATTGGTAGGCATCAAGCGTCAATCACTAATTTTGAGAAATTGATTTATAAAGGGTCGATACTAGCATTCTATCACCATCCACAAAAGAGGATGCTGTTTGTCGTTTTCGTGTATTTGACAATCACAGATATTCAGCTTCCGAATTATGAAAACTGAGAGATAATGCCAAACCGGTATTCCATATCCACTTTATTTAGCTTTCTTGATATGTGAATTAACAACAATTAACTTTTTTGAGAGTCTAAACAATGCTTTCTTGCCACGTCGTCCATGAAATACGATTGGATTTGAAGTTACAGTGTAGATAGAAACGGCGAAAAAGATTGGGAATCTATCTGAGTTTAAATAAGACATAGTCTATCTGTTTAGACACATTCGCAATGAAAAAATACTGAAATATATGCAGAGGTAATATATTTCGTTACAAAGTAAAATTATGCTCTATTCGGTCTTTTTAGTCTTTTGTTTCCCAGCGGAAGTTGAATGACTACGTAATTTTTTGCACACAAAAGAACAACAAACTGCACAGAACAAAAAAAACATTAAAATAATTGCTATAAACACCAACATAACATCAAGCATATAGAACTGGTACCAGGGAAGCAGTCTTGCATGGGACTTCATATAGGAACCGCCATATTTGATCACGTGGTCAATCCAGAAACCTGCCAGTTCCACGGGGGTGCCAGGTTGATCGCGGAAAATGGCGGACGCCCTGCGCATATTCTTGGCATAGGTCTCATTTTGCATCATCATATTAATGGCAGAAATAAGATCCTCGGATTTTAAGAATGCCGCGTCCATTGTTATTGCGATGCCTTTTTGTTCCGCCCTTGCCGCGTTGTAATCTTGGTCACCGAACAAAGGTATGCTTATCATGGGCACACCGTGGTATAGTGCCTCCATCTGCCCGTTGTTTCCAGCGTGTGTGATAAAGAGCTTAGTGTTAGGATGCCCCAAAATATCATTCTGTGGCATCCAAGACATAATCTTGACATGACCCGGGACATTCTTTAGCGGCTGCCCATTATACTTCCATATAACGCCATAAGGCACGTTCTTGAAGGCATCGAAAAGTTCCTGAACTACTCTGTCCGGCATGTATTTGACCAGGGAGCCGAACGATACAAGAACCACGCCGTGGTCATGCCTTTTAAGAAATGTTTCCAAGTCTTTCGGCAGTGGCTTTGCGGGTCGCGTCATAAGACCTCCTAGGTACTTGACGTTGGGCAGTGACGGTTTGACGTGGTCAATGGCGGGCTGGCCTCCGTCCACTATCCACAACTCTGATTCTGCCATCAGCTCTGGCGTAGACATGTAAGGGCGGCCTGGGGCATGCTTCTGGGAAAGTTCCGGCGTTATAGGTTGTAAGGAATGCTTCAGTAAAACGTAAGGAACGATATTGAGCATTCGCTGAGAAAGACTCATGTTGTCGGAGCACTTGGCAGTTATCGCTAGACTAGGGACAAATGAAGGCAGCATTGGAACACCAGCAAGCTGCTGCATATCTAGGACTATTGACACGTAAGGAACCGCATACCGGTGAGGGAAGAGGTAGGCCTTTGCAAAAAACCAATAACCGTAAACAATCATGAGGTCAAATTTCAACTCCCTGACCTTTCTGTCCAGTTCCTTGTCCACAAACATCTCTTCCAAATGACTTTCGAATATCCTAGAAGCTTTTTGAATAGTGGACGCCATATGAAACAGGCTTGTGCGTAGTTTTGGGTTTTCAACGGCCGCCATGAAAATGTCCTTCTGTAACTCCGGATCGTCCAGAAACATTTTCTCTTTTGATCTAAAAGTCAGCAGATTAATTCCATTTTTTTGTAGCAGCGATTGCGATATTTCGAACGTGTCCGCAAACACCGCCCAAACGTCGTGCCCTCGACTTTTCAGCTCTGACAGCACCGTCACGGTTAGGCCTAACTGGCTCCTTCCAGGGTAAACCAGCGATAGAATTCTTGCAGCGTCAGAGGACGAAGAACACAACAAAAGAACGTACAATACAGCCAGTGACAAACCGGCTTTACTTGCCATCTCGTTCCTTTATGATACAGACAACTTTAAATAACCGAGCAGACAGAAGAATATCGTGTTGACAAGAGCCAGCAAGAGAAATAAGCTCGGGCAATGACCCAGACTGTCCTGTATTTTGACTCTCGTCAGTTACTTGATAGACCGCATTCACAACCAGTTGTTCCACGGACTAACAGGTGCTCGGATCAAATATGGGGCGCACTTAACAATTGATACCTGAGGCCAAAGCGTGCCGATCCTGCCGGGGAAGAGTAATAAAATCTCGGCACTTTTTCAAGTGGACGGCGCCATATTTGACTAGTTAGTCCACAGATCAACTATTTCTGAATGCACCCTTAGCCATTGGCAACTTGCAGGCATCTTATCTCCAATCAAGCTCCCTTTACACTGGGCGGCGTCCTTTCTGCGTCCCGTAGTACGGCCCCGTTTGAGAGTAAAAAAAAAATATGTGCCAACAACTGGCCGATCATTGAACATTTTTTCTGCAACAACAGCGATGCTTGTGCCTCCTTTCTACAACCTCAGCGATGCCAGTTTCAGGGTCGCACAAAGGACGCAGAAAGGACGCCGTCCAGTGTAAAGGGGGTTTTATCAGGTTTTATCACCACACTGAGCTCAAGTGAACTGATAAGTTGAGAAGTCCCGAGCATGGAACGATATCATACTCCCTTTGCCCCACTTTTAGTTACTTACGCTATATGTTAACTAGTACAAATAAGCATTGATCAACTAAGTTAGTCTTCAAGTGTGCTCGTTTGGTCACCTTCAACCTTGTCAGTGTTTATATCTGAATATAGTATCACAGGGGCTTATCCAGGATTATTTGAAGGGGAGGGGGTCCGCGGATAAAAAGCCGCCCCCCCCCCCCCCCCCTCTAAATCCGCCACTGCATCACATAATGTGTGTAACTAAAACCAGGCTATGATTGAACTTACGTGAAGTATTCGTGATATTTTTTTATTCTTAAGCAAATCTCCCTAAAGAATTAAAAGCATTATGCTGTCGATTGATTCCCCGTCGTATTGCATCGCATATATCAATGTTTTATGTATTTCTTTTCAATGTGT